GTGATTCTTTCTTTAGGAGCCCTGACAATAAATTAACTTCTGCCAGAAACATTTTACCCAGCAACATAACACTGCAAGAAGGAACGTAGCCCCCCAAGAGCTGATAGACACCACATATCTATGAGCCCTTCTTGCTCAAACCCCCAAAGCTCAGGTATTCAGTTCAAGACACAGCTCTTGCTGAGTGCCAGGAAGCCAATAAAAGAGTCATTTAAACAGAGTAAGGGACATGGAAATTATTCAGAGAGCTTTTCTTATAATAAGATATGTCCTAAATTCATATTAGAGGGGTTTTTATTTTGCCTAAGAGTAGTCCCTAATGAAAAAGGGGTTATATTTATTTACTGATTTTGTAGAATCAAAGGTCTTTCTCTTAAGACCCTCTGTCCCAGATGTTTGTTTGGAAATTAAATATTCATCGGCGTCCCTCCAGCAATGTCCCAACAGAAATGCCCCATTGAGAAGCACATGGGAGGCAGATGACAGGCAGCTCTCATTTCTCTGGGGACAAGCCGAGAGGGCACAAACAGCAAGAAGAGACAACCGGCATAATAAAGGAGCCACAGGGTTCCCTAGGAGCTTTGATTTGACATTATCCACGGCAGCCCAGGAGCGATGGATCGGCCTGAGGCGTGATAATGACTTTTATGTTTGGATGCGGATGTGTTTAATTGCCATGACAGCCCTTTCAGCAGTGGACAAAGAGCACCCGTGGATGCACTGTGTGCAAGGTACCTTCAGAACCCACATGGGGCAGCTCCTCTGGCCACTAGTGCAGGCTGGAGTGGGGGGTCCACACCTCGCACTGCCTAGCAAGGGCCTGGCAGGGATGTGGTTAAGAGGCGATTGCTAACAGCTCCCACCTTGCTGTTTGTTTTGTAATTCTAGACAGGCCAGAGAGGAGACTAGCAGGGGTTATCTCCTCCCTGCCCTGCCAGGTGAGCTGATCCAACCCTGTGAGTCTGCTGAGCACTCTGCTGGAGCAAGGAGCCTTGGCTCCTGCTCTCTGGGACATGGCCAGCCTTCAGCAGATACCCACTGCCCCTAAAAACTCTTCCATGGCAGTCAGGTTCCAAAACACCGGGATGTGGGAATCAGCCAAGGATAATGGGTCATTGGCTATTAATGTGAAGTAAAGCAAAGTCAGCTGGGCTGAGAGTGAGCTGAAGATGCAGCCTTTGGCAACTGTTTTAAAACAACCAGAAAGCTTCTCTAACAAGCCAGAAAAGTAGATCTGATTTTAAACAGATCATAAGTCAACCAACCAATCAGGCATTGTAGGTTAGCCTCACCAGTGTTCCTGCAGAGGAACAGGGACCACAGTTCTGGGCAATGAGCCTGTGTAGGGGAGAGTGGCAGGGGACATCTCTGCCCCTCTGAGATGTTGGTTAAGAATGTGATTCATCTCTTCATCAGGTCTGTGAATTAACAGAAGGCCTTGAGGGCAAGAAACAGTCCAAGTCCATTTTTCTTCCCTAGGAGGTAAAATGTAATTGGTTAAATGTAAAGGTCAACAGGGATTACAGAGGTGATCAAGTCCCTCAGGCACCGGGGTATTAAGGATAGCATAAGCCCCCAGATAGCGAGACAGGTGGATTGGTCCAGAAGATGAAATTTTCTGCTCCAGCCTTGGTACAAATCTGAAAATGGATTTGTGGAGGAAGGTACTGGGTTCCTCGAGGACAAGAGAAGGCAAATGGAAAACAAACTTCTGCTGCTATGAAGGGTCTTGTCTCTGTGACTCCACTGTCATAGCATCTGATAAAGTAGGCTGTCACTTACAAAAACTCATGCCTCTCTGAACCAGCTTAGGTGCCATCTGGCCCTGCCTTCTCCCTGTCTCCTTTGGAACCCCTGCGAGTTAAGGGGAGAATTTTGCTATTAAAATGTAATTTTATTAGCTCTAAAAAACAAATGCTAGAATCCTGCTGCCTTGTGCTGTTAGGCTGCAGGTCAGATACGTGAGGCAGGGGTGGAGTAAGGGGGTTATGTAGCCAGTTTGACTGGTGTCTGCCCACCTACGTCACAAGCTAAAAACATTGGTCACATAATTAAGAGTCAGAGGTGCAGGTGCAGGCTGTGACAGCCAAGTGGATTCATGAGGGGGGGATGAGGTGTGCATCAGGGAAGGCCTTTCTGGACTTTGGCAATAAGTGTTCATACACACTGGACCGTGGACAGGACCTATTCAATCCATAGGAAGCCAAGGGAAATCTCCTTCTACATGTGTCCCCACTGATCATATCTGAATAAGCCATCAAGAGGGTGCTCTTCTTCTTTGCTTAGGCGTTCACTGTTCATGTGTTTTGGAATATGCTCCTTGTCTAAACAGAAAGGAGACAATGTTCCCGAGTGATGTCATTCTTGCCACAGGAAGTTGCCCTGATAAGGGGTGCAGAAACAGAGCAACAAACCTATGGAGCTTCTCCCCTGCAGCATGCAGCCACTGACTGGCTCATGCCCCTCCCTCTGGGCCAGTCTTTTACTGACATGAGTTGTGCTGTGTCTCAGGCTATTGGAAGGACTTTCTGAGACTACAGATTTCGACCTTGCCAGCTTTATTGAAAGCATGTGCATTGCATGGGCATTCACACTGCCCTGCCTTCATTCCTAAGTCTGCCAACTAGCACTGGGCTCATGAGAGAGCTGAGAGGGATTCTTCTGCCTGGGGGATGAAGAAGAGGGGAACTTGGGTCCTCTTCTTTCCAGAGTCCTGGTCAGAAGCCTGGGATCTTCCTAGGGCTTGGAATGAATGTGGGACAGACAGAGGAACTCAGGATATTAGTATCATGCATAAGGCACAGTGGAACCTGCTTGCTTTATTTCAGAGTCAGTGACACTCCATTCATGGTGTGTGAGGCTGGTGCAAAACTTCATACCATGCTGACCGCAGCTCTGGTGCTTGCACCTCTCTTATGCTGGGAGAAGAGATGGTTGCTGATGAGCGTGGTGACAAACAGGAGGCATCAGCTTTCATGTTTGAGTCCTGGATTAGGATGATTAGGATCATCCTTTACACATTTGAATGCCCAGATTGGTTTCTGCACTGAGCAGGGGCATTTTAACCCCTTCAGCCTCCAAGAAGTTTGAGGCACTTTGCTACCATTGTATGAGGAATTAATAAGGGAAGTGGGTGCATTCTGACTCTAGTGCTATGGACTAACTGTGAATCAACCCCAAATCAGTCCACTGAAATCAGTACAGTTAACCCTCCTTGGGTGGGTGGAGATGTTTAAGTATAAAATGTGACTGATGATTGAGAATGGTTTAAGAGTGCTTTATTAGATGGCTGAACCCCATAATTTCATGATCAAAAGACAACTTTGATTAAGAGAGGAGGTGAAGATATATATACAGTTGTACATCCATACATCAACAACTGAAATGTAGGAAGGTTGACAAAAATGAGATAGTGAGACATTATAGACAACTGATAAGGCAGCTAAAGTTATCAGTGACAAATCTATAGTTGGGGCGGTCAAGGACAACAAGAAGAAAGATGCTGCTACAAAGGGGTATGTCCCAAGCTGGAGGGGGCTGGTAGAATTATCTGCTGTAATGTAGAAAGGTCATCAGATATTTCTGTTTTATGTTTGGAAGGGAGCAGGATGGTGTGTCCATCTCCTACAGTATAAAAGCTATTAGATGCTTTCATCAGTTGCTGGAAAGAGCTAGTACCTCATAGATAGTTTTTAATTGGCAAGACTAGTCATCTGCACCCAAAGTATTAAATGAGTCAGCCAGCGACTTCACTGCACCATTCATGCTGATTTTTTTTTTATATATAAATCTTGGAGTATAGGGGAAGTCTCTTGGGGCCAGAAAGAAGAAACCTACAGGCTGGATAGCCTAATATCCACCCTAGGCAAAAATTATGGGAAAACTGCTCTGGGATTGGAGGTGGCATAATAGACACAGATGGAAGTGACAGTTTTTGCATGATCTGGCCTCTGAAAGCACTCTACAGCCACGACCAAACACCAGCGCACTGTTGCAGAACCCTTTAAAAGAGCCCAATCCTGTGACAGGCTGAACTGTCATTGCATGAGGGTTCAGATGAAGATGCTCCAAAACGAAGCATCTTTGTTAATGTCTTTCTGCGCACACTGGGAGCAGAGCTGGGCTGACACAGCTCAGCCCTGCTCCCGGCATGGTCTTCACAATGGGAGGGAGGGAAGAGAGCAGAGGGAGTTTGATCTGGGGTTTT